TTGGGCCATATGCTTAATTATATATATATATATATATATATATATATATATATATATATAGTTATAATTTTTGCTTCTACTTCCAGGCCAGAGGGAGGCACTCGTGTGTCAAGTTTGTATCACCAATGGAAGACGTAAAACCCTTCATATGACTGGTGAGACAATGACTTTATCAGTTTGCACAATTTACTCTATAATTAGTATGATTTTTGTTATAAAATAACATCTCTCAATGCCACTAGGACTATCACCTAATAAGACACATAATATCACCTAATTAGACCTTATTTCACAGTCTTAGAGCATTGCCATCACACATTAAATATGTGTGTAACCAAACTTTAAATAATGCATTTATTCATAAAACTCATATGGTTATTTGTCCTCTTCAGCTTATAAAACAGTCCTCTTCCTGTCTTCCGGTCTGTGAGAGAACAACTGTCATCACTGTAAATCAACATCTTTGTTATCATTGTCTCAAGTACTGCTGAAGAAAGCTCACCATGATGCCAGCCGATGATCACTGTAGGTTTTCAGAAAGAGCTTTTAATTTACTCCAACAAAAGGGCTCTTAAAAGAAGTAAACAAACCTAACTCAGGCTCTGACAACTTCATATAGTGGTCTTCTTTGTTTACTACAAACCAGCGTAAAAGGTGCATGCTGCCACCTACTGTACCAGACTGAGCAACATCATGACTTCATGAAGAGTTTAATATCTAAATAATAGACCTGTTTCCTGAAGATACAGACAGACACAAAGTGGAAAATATATAATGGGTGATCAGACAACATTTGGAACACAGAGGGAAATACATTTGATACAGTCTGATTGGCCACTTCCCGTATTAAACACAGGGGTCTCCGACTAAAATTAGCTTGGGGCCACTGCTGGTAATCATCTCAATGGAAGGCCACTTCAATGTTAGGCTTAATATTTCTAAAAACTGCAAACAGGAGTTTCTATACATTTTTACATCATCTTTGTTGTTCACAGCCAAACAAATGAAGGGGCGTAAGAGCTCTATGGAGAATTTATACAGCAGCTAGGAGGAGAGACTGTTTTTTCTTAGATTTCAATCAATGAGCTCATGCTACAGTATTTTCATTGATCTTATCATTTGCATTTGTTTTTTTTTATTATTTTCTGTTTAGAATGTTCATTAGCTTTTTGTGCTTTTTTATTTACAACAGCAACGCAATTTCAACAGGCATATACATGCAAATGAATGATGTGAAGTCCTAATTTAAGCTATTTTTCGTCAGTGACAAAGATCAATGTGATACCAGTGGTAGACCTCAAAAGCCAAAATGAGCACTACTCGAAGATCTGTGACTAAAATACACTGAAAGAAAGAAACAAACACATTTCATTACATCCTGCACTCCCAAACATCAACGCAAGGGAGAGCCATAACCCTGTGCAGGTTATTATTGCTGGATTTTTACAGTAGTGGTCTGCTGTTGACCAGGATTTATGGTGAAAAACAAAAACAAATGTACATCTGTTTATATACATTGAGTAATGTAAATGTGCACATACATTTTTTAAATTTTGGACATGCACATGTATAGTATGTTTTTGCTATTATGATGGTGATCCTTTTGTTATACTGATCTCCTGCAAATTAGCTTTAGACTGTAAGTGTCTGCATTTATGTGTGTGAGCAGGATCCTCTCATTACAGCTTAGACGATAGCTTGAGTTTGTGCATTTCTGTCAGAACTACTGTATTGTACGTATATTCAGAAGACAAATAAAGAGACAGACACTGATATATAAAAAAGAGAGCAGAGAGGGAGCAGTAAATGAAAGTGGTGATGGTAATCTTTGCCAGCAGACTATTAACTGTGACAGTAATTATTTCTAATGGATCTATGTCTGATTAAGACGATGAATATCTCTGAACTGGATCAGAGTCAAAAGGAATGAATAGGATGTCCTATTGATCTACAGTAAAAGGAATAAAGATTCTGAGTATCTCTGAGGGAAAAAGATTTAACTACATTCTAGACTATGAAACAAAAAAGTGGAATAATAATTGTTGTCTCTGTGTAATGTACCCTTTTTCATATTTTCGACCAAAAAACATATTTACAGTGAAACCATGAACCACATAAATTGTTTACTGTCCTGGGTTTGTTGCGTATACTTACCTCTTTGTTTCATATCTGTGAATATGTGATTACAAACGGTTTAATTTTGCAAATGTTTTCTTTTATAAAAGTAATCTGATATATACTGAACGTTGTTTGTGCTCTTTCTACGAGTTCATTTCATCCCAACAGATCCTAAAACAGAACAGAAGTAAGAGTGAGACGAGAGGGGGAGGACTGAACCAGAAAAACTGAATTAAGTAGCCTGCGGTTTCACAAGGGTTTTGTAAAGATGCATATACACACATGGTCTGCATGCATGAGCACACACGCACATATACTTCCCCCCGGTGTCTTGTCTTCTGTTCCTAATTTAACTCTCCCTCTCACACTGTCTCTTTATTTCTGTCTTAATCACTCTCGCCATCTCTTTTATCCTTGTGTTACTCTGTTCTGTTTAAAGTAGTGACAAAAGCAGATTTGGGTTTATGAAAGAAGGAAGGACAAAGAGAGAAAGGAAATGTGGAAGAAAGAGGAAAGAAAAGAGAACAGCTAAGGGCTGATCAGGGTAATGACGCAGCAAACTTTGCAATAAGAAAAACGATGTACTGTATGTTCCTGCTGCTATCCGGCCTCTGTGTATGCGTCTATCTGCTGCCAGATATGCATGTGTCAGTATTTTCCTCTATGTGTCTCTCCAAGTAACACATGAAATTTACATCACCTAAAATAGACTAGAGTTTCTACATTTCTAAAGTATTTAGTAGGATTAACCACTGCTTCAATTCTGCTCTTCTGTACCCAATCCTAACCCAATCCAATTTATACTGTGCATACATTTGTGCACAAGGCTTCTTATCACTACCTGACATGTGGGGACATTTATGCCTATAAACACAACTATTTGTATTTAAACCCACTGCCTACTTCTAACTAACATCTCTACTTACATAACATTTAGAAGTTGGGTTATTTTTTATTTTTATTTTACTGTCTGTTTTTTTTTAAATTATATTCATTATTTCATTATATTACTCTTTTTGGCTTGAAGTTTAATGACAAAGTCAGTACCATATTGAAACCCTATCACCATTGCTCATTAATAACATTTCTATAATGTATGCATACAGCAACTGTTATGGTTAGGCAACAAAAAAACTTGGTTAGGCAAAGATTGTGGTTAAAGAGTAAAAAAAGAGTCTTTTAAAGAAGGCTTCACTGTCCACTCTGGTTGAAAGTTTCAAGCCTGTTAGCTACTAACATAAAATTATTCTACTTTCGCATTTGGAGGAGCCTTTACAATGAAAAGTATAGTTGACTTAATCTGATGTATTTGGCACTGAAATGCATTCGGTATTCAGTCCCTAAATGGATAATGTTGCAACACCGTAAGGGAGGTGTGGCGGAGATTGAGTGGGCATGTCAGTTTATTTATCTGTCAAGTCTAATCTTCTTGACA